GGTCGTTCCTCGCCCCACGCCGGGGGCTCCGTGCCGCGCCCCGGGCACCGCGGGCCGGGCAGAGCTGTGCTGAGCCGTGCTCTCGCTCGCTCGCCCGCCCATCCCCGCCCTCCCGGCGCGGCTCCGCGGCTCCTCCCCGCCGCCGCCCCACGCCCAGGTATCCCCGGGCCGGATCGCGCCGCTCCCCGCGGCAGGAGCAGCCGGGCGGCGCGGCTGAGGCGGGGGCGGAGGCGGGCGGGGCGCGGCGGTTCCGGAGCCCCGGAGCCCGGGGGCGGGCGCGGTGCCGCCGGCCGGCCCCCTGAGGAGGCGCGGCGGGGCCGAGCCGGCCCGGCAGGAGAGGCTGGGTGCCTCTCCCGGCGGGAGCGGGCTCTGGCTCTCCTCCCGGCTCCCGGGCGCCCCGGGGGCGCGGCCATGTCCGGAGCCATGAAGTTCAGCGGGTACCTGAAGGTGCGCATCGGGGAGGCGGTGGGGCTGCAGCCCACCCGCTGGTCCCTCCGCCACTCGCTYTTCCGCAAGGGCTACCAGCTCCTGGATCCCTATGTCACCGTCAGCGTGGACCAGGTGCGCGTGGGGCAGACCAGCACCAAGCAGAAGACCAACAAGCCCACCTACAACGAGGAGTTCTCGGCCACGGTCACCGACGGCCATCAGATCGAGCTCTCCGTCTTCCACGACACCCCCATCGGCTACGATGACTTCGTGGCCAACTGCACCTTGCACTTCCAGGACCTGCTGCGCTCCGCCGCCCCCAGCGACACCTTCGAGGGCTGGGTGAGTACCCACCGGGGAGCGGCGAATGAATGAAGGGCACTGGCGGAGCCGGGGCTTGTCCTCGCATGCCTGTGCCGCAGACACGCAGCCCGGTGTGCTCTGCAGGTACACAGGTGTGCTCCTRAACGCATCTCTTTGTGCCACTCCGCTCCACGTTTGCTCAGGCTGCTGTTCCTAAGGGACCCTAAGAACAAAAAGCCTCAGCTGTTGTAGCTTGAGGCTCAAGACGCTGTAGCGGGGGCTGTGAAGTCTCTCCTTTGTAGACGAGCAGAGAGACGATCTATAATACATGACTTGCAAGCTGCACCATCCAATTCACACAAAGGTGCTCCTTCCTCCCTTTGCACAGCGCACAGAGGCGCTCTTGGAGAYTGGGATACCTGGGCTGGATGTGTTTCTGCCCAGCTCCACACATGCTTGCACAATAGTTTGATGCGTGCGCGCAGATTTCTTTGACTGCGTAGCAGGACGGCAGGACCAGTCTTGTGTGTGTTACGTACACTATTGCTCTGGGTCAATGCAGTTTCACTCAGAGCTAAGTTTAGGTTATTTCCAGGTAAATGTCATTTGTGTGCAGCCCGGRGAACCTCGTCTATGGCTTAGTCCCGATGATGAGAGGAACAGTACAGGCTCTAAAGTTGTGCCTTTGCTTCCAGTGTTGGGAAGGAGGAGGAAGTGATTGCATTGGTCCAGACAGGAGTTTGCTGGTAACAATTAGGTTTAAAAAGGCGTTTATTCTGAGTAGAGAAGGTGCAGAAGAGCTGTTTTCAAGGCTGTGATAGGTATAAACTTTTTGAGGCCAAGAAGTTCAGGATATGCGGTGACATAACCACGACAATAAAACCAGAAGTTGAGGAAGGAGAGCTGACAGTGTAGAGAGCAGATAGGATCGAGATGTCTATCTCTGGAGAAAATGCTTGGGCTTTCTGCTCTCAGCCCGTGTCTGTGTCTGAGGTGTGATTTTACACCTTTGGGGTGATTACAGGAATGATTAATAAGGGTATATTGGGGTAATGGATGCCTTGTGGATAGGCTTGGGGCTCATGCACAGTCCCTGATGTGATTTTTGTGTTGGACAGGAGGGTCCCAGCCAGTCTCCAATGGCTTAGCTGAGGCATTGCTCCTGACAGCCCAGCCTGAGCTGAGCTCACAAGCCTTGTCAGCCCAGCCTGAGCTGAGCTCACAAGCCTTGTCTGGTGGATAAATGCCCAGCTGCCTGTGCCACCAGAGAGAATCTGCTCCTGGGATTTGTGCTCAGCCACTTTTAAATGCAGAACAGACCCCTAAGGGCAAGGCAGAGRAGTGAGCCTGGGATACAGCGCTGTGGTTTTGAGGGTTTTCTTGATGTTTGAGTTGCTGGGGATGTTTGCTCTTGAGAGAGGCCCTATCCTCTCAGGAGACTGGATTCCTGGTCACACTGGGGCTGGCTGTGTGTGGGATGGGACTGCTCTGCTGCAAAGGTGGTGGCCTTATTTACATTACGAAAATATYTGTCATAATGCTGCCTCTGGTGTGGCTGCACGTACAATTCTTTCATTTCGTCCATCCTGTGGTGCTGATTTTTAGGGCAGATGGAGTCTGTGGCCTGAAATACTCATGGGGTCTTGGGTGAGGGAAGAGTTTCTAATCTTTACAGGATGGACCTGTGTTTTATGAACTCCTGTACATGTGAGGTGATGAATGCCATGGGGTGGGAAATCAGTGAATTTTTTAACTAGACTGATGTAAACTGATGTTGTATCTGGGCATGTAGACAAAGGCTAAAAGCTGCTGCTCTCCATTAAAATTAATGACTAAAAATTACAGCTGGGGTGGATTTAGTGGGGAATGAGCAAATGTTTGTCTTCTGTTGCCTTTCTCTCTCCCCTCCCTTCTGATTTGCTTTGTTAGCATCTCACATAGCGTGCAGCCTGGATCACATGATGACAGGGAACAGCATCTTGCCCTGATAATTTAATATATCTTGATAAATCCAGCGAGGCTGTCACGGGAGTTTGTGTAATCAGAAGGATAGGAGATTCTGGTTTGTACCAGCCCAAGGTCCATGAACTGCTGGCACAATGCAAAACASCACAAGGAAATGTAGATGATTTCTCACACCTCCGCTCTGAAATCCTTCATTTCTGTCCTTTCTCCATCCCCAAAATAAAAGCACAGGTAGGCAAGTAAAGAGTCAATCAAGAGAAAGGAAAATTGGTGGATGCTCAAAATTTAACCTTGCTTATGCTTGCTTGGCTGTGCACTATTTTTCATTTTGATTTGAAATAGAACTTTTAYGTTCACTTTTCAGAGACAAGGAAAACAGTATTTTGGTAAACTCCCAATGATGGTTAATGGGCAAACAGGGCAGAGCAATTGGCTGCCTCTGCTCCCTGAGCTCCCCTCCTGAGAGGGAGCTGTCTGGAATTACCCSTGACAGTGTTGCCATCAGCTCTCTATTTACAAACATGGATTTTCTTCTGCTGAAAAAAAAACCCCATGATTAGTTGTAACATTGGTGAACACCTCTGGTGAGAACTGTAGGAAGTTTCAGCGAGAGGCAAGGAGGAGCAGTTGGTGTGTAAGAATTGGTGCTTCCCAGATGACTTGCAGGTACATCCCTGCAATTATGACCCCAAACACTTATGCAGATGAGTAAGTGTATGGACATGAGCTGTCTCATCAGTAATGCTTATACACCTGAGTCATCCCACTGGGTGCTGGGACAGAGTTCTCTCTTCATGGGTTGCTTTGAAATTCATATTTCAGGGACTTCAAAACTTACCCTTCTCCTTCTAAGCATTTTTGTTGTTTTCTGAAGTCTTTCTAGTAAACACACCAGCACAGTCTGGATATCTTCTAATTTGCGTATTAGCTGTTAAACACATTTGACTAATTTTCCACAGATCAAATTCACTTCAAGATCCTTCTCACTGTTTCCCCTTTCTTATATTTACTTGTCAGGTTTCAGCGTGGCAGTTTTTAYGAACATTGTCAATTAAATGCCACCTTTCCTTCAGCGTGCTTCAGTGCAGTCAAAACCCAGAACGATCTYCCCGGTGCTCTGTCTCTGGTAGGCATTTGCCTGTGTGGGTGTGAAATTGTGCAAACCTGAATGGTAGCATTTCACACCAGGTGCAGGGCAGGAGAGGACCAATCTCGCTGCTCTCCTCAGCTGTTTGCTGTCATTTACATCAGGGCTGGAGCTTGCCTCTTAAAGAATTTCGTTTTGCACTAGCCTGTGCTAGGATCTTTTTACATGTGCACCTTTAAAAGGTATTTTCTCCTCTTTGTTTCTGAGTGCAGTGTAGAAACAAATGGAGTATGAGTGTAGTTGAAAGGGGAGATGTTTTCAATACATAGGATTATTCCTGTGGGTTTTATGTAGTAGCTGAAGTAATTTTTAACCTTGGGGAAACACTCTTTATAGATACTGAATGGCATTGTTACGAGGGAGTTATTTAATCACAATTGTAAAAATTGTTAGTCCCTGGGTGGAGATGTCATAATTTCTAAGACTTTAATAAGGAGTAGAAATTTAAACCTTGATCTTGAAGTAGCAAATCATCAGAATACACTGAAGGAAATCACATAACAGATGGGCTGTAAGATTAATGAGCGAGTCGCAGCTTCCTGAGGAGTTTGTTACCCTTTKCTTGTGTGCAGGAAGAGATTAAGACAAATAATTCTTGTGCATTCCTTCACTTGAGCTCTTTTCACTGTATCCTTCCCTCTTTTTCTGTCTTTAGGCAGAAATAATTGTGTTTTACAATACAACATTATTGCATATAATGTTTATATACAATTGTATTTGTTGGATGTTAAATTGAAGAGTTGAAAGACAAGTCAACTTCTCTCCAGAGCATCAGGACCATGGCAGAGAGCCAGGTTGCTGCTTCTTTTGACTCCTTGACTTGGCTGCAGAGTTGTTCAGGTGGGCAAAACTTGCTTCAGGAAGCCAAAATACTTTACAGCTCTTGACAGAGGATTTTGTGGTGCAGTATKTTATGTCTGCCTACCTGTAGAGATGGACTGTGGCTTGTAGAGCTGCAATAAATGGTATCTCCTTCCACAGGACAGGAGCAGGCTGAGATGAAATCCAACTTGACTTCCATTTCCATGCACATGATAGTGATGTACATCATGCAACTCTCTGATCTGTGTGAAGGGCACACTGCATTAATTAGGYTTGAGTAGATTAAGCTCCTTCCCTRTTTCTTGGGAAGCTTTAGGTTGTTTCTGTACCTGTTATTGCTGATACGCAGTTATTATGTTGAATAGGACTTGTGGGGAGAAACACCCACTGTAGAAGGTAAGATGGGTTTGAAAGCTGCTGGAATTTCAGCTTTTCTTCCTTTCCTTTAGCATGCAGTTGTCCTTTGGCCCTATGAACAGACCCCTCAAAATGCCASCAGAGTCCCATGCACCATGGCTGTCTGAGTGCAGGGCACTGCAGCTTGAAATGAAGTTGTAATAACTCACGGAAAAATTGTTGCTATTTGTCAGTATTTAATAGTCTGCGGGGGTGTGATGCTAAAAACAGTTATTCTGATCAAGGCAGATGAGACAGCTGACTGTCACGAAGAGCTGCACACTTACTGCACTGTTCAGCATCACAAGTGGAGCTGTTTGGAGTCCTGTTTCTTGCTCCTGTCTGGAAGCTTTGAGAATCCTTGGAGCACATTTTGCTTGAGAGTGTGTTTGGCTGGGAGGATTTGACCCAAGCACRAGAAGAGCCAGTTTCCATTGATTGGGGCCAGTAGGGGTGTGTGGGACTGGAGCTCATGTCCTGYTTTGAGCTGAGTGCAGCAAGGTGTGGGTTTGAGGTTTTCTGGAGTTTTAATGGGGCAGCTAATGGGCAGTGCAGTGACAATGCTCCCGTCCCCTCCACAGATGCTGCAGTCACTGYAGTTCTGTGGCTGAGTGAGAGGAATTCTGTGCATTCATCTGTCTCAGTCTCTTCCAGCAAATGGTAACAAATTCATCAGGGACAGAGCCAAAATCCTTGAAGTGCAGGACAA